ATAAAGAAATCCTGCCATCTATTTACATTAGGTTAGTCTAAACTCAGTTTTAATGGAATAATAGGATAAAGATTGGGCAGAGATTTTAAAGAACAGCCCTGTATACTGCTTTAGAAACATCCACAGGCTTTGACAGTGCAACCTGCCAAAGAAGATTTCCGAGTTTCATTTTACTTGGCTCGAGGGTCCAGTTCTTAGCTGATGTAAAACAGCATAAGCTCAGTGAATGCCTACTTATTTTCTCCAGCCTCAAGGTCTTAGGAAGTAATATTTCAGGCAGAAGAGCTAAACCAGGGCCAGATCTGCACTCCATCCCAGTAAAAAAGCAAAAGGAGAAGCCCACCCCGCCCATCTGATCCCTCTACCTGTGCTGTAATCACAGACCTGCAGGCAGTTTAATTTTTACTTCCTCTGGGATGAAATTACCAGGGGGAAGATGCCTTCATTTAAAAAGAAACAACAAAACCAACAATATCCATGACTATATTTTCTGGAAGGGAATCTCTGAACACTCTCATCCATTGTCAGAAACATTATCTCTGATCTCTGTGTCCCTCTTTTAAGAGCCCATGGACAAGCTTTGCATCCAGCCAGGGAGCTCCAATAATGACGCTGAAAGCCAAGGGTATGAGCCACATCACCCCCACCCTGAGCTGTTACCCCAAAAAAATCCTTCTGTGTGCCTTGGAGTGACATCAAATCCACACCTGCAACACAGCAGACCATCTTCTGGCCATCTAGAATCATCATGCTGTAAATTCTGACAAGGCCAACCAGATCCATTTCTCCCCTCCTTTACACTAGTAACCTCAAAGAGCAGGTTTTTGCTCTGTGATAGATTCACATGATAATATATAAAACCAGCCAAACAAAAACAGCAGTAAGTTGTCATTTGAAGCCAACCCAATATGTTGTGGCACAAGTTTTATCTCCCTTTTCAACCATATCCTTGCCAGAATCTGACCCAGCACTTGGGATCACAGTGAAATTTCCTCCTTTGGCCTACATCTGGGGTAGGAATTAATCTCACCTGAGAGCCACATGAAAACCTAAATAGTGACCAAATGATGGTGTTTCCCTTCACAGAATCCCTGGGCAGGCAAAATGCTTTAGGTCTATCCCTCTTAATGGTATATTTGATGATTAAACTTAATCAAACTCAGCATCATAAAAGAGAAGGTTATTTCAACCCAGGATCGGACTTCTGAACTTTAATCCTTCTTGTATTGATGCAACAGGGAAGTAAAAGCTGCTTTCCTACACAGAATCACAGTGTGATTGATCTTGGTCACCAAGCCCTGGTACAGCCAGCATTCAGAGGTTTCCCCATCTGCACCAGTCCACCACAAAATCAAAATATAGACATGGTTCTCTCCTTGTTGTGTTTGTTTCCATCTCCAGCCTCCTGGTCAGCATGGCAAGCAGACTCCAGCTCACAGAGAGATCATATAGAAATGCTCTGTCTGAATTTCCATCTGTCAATAACATTAAAGCAGAACCACGGCTGCAATTACAAGTGTACAAAACAATCCCGTCATCCGGCGTCTTTAGCCGATTCCAGGATGCATTACAACAGTGCCAGGAGAGACTGGGCTCCGCCGGCTCAGCTGTAAATCTGCAATCTGCACAAAAACCCCCGAGTGTCAATCACAGGACGTCCCTGCTCTTTCACAATGCATAATTTAGCTACTACACTTGTCAGGTTCTCCACGCCGCTCCTGCGCCCGATGGTGGATGTGTCCGTGAACTCAACTGTCATCAACAGAAGAAAACAGCACATGGAAATGAACAGGCTAAAGGACCCCTCATCTCCTTTCAATCGCCAGGAAAGTTTAGCTAGGCTTTAATTTTTAATGCTCAATGGGTGAAACAGCCCAAGGGATGAAGGAAGGTGACAAAAACTGCTCTCTGAGGAGGAAGAGAGCATTTGGGTAAGACATAGGAGGGGATAAATGCTATCCCTGTTTCCATGCAGGCTGATATAATGGGAGAATTTTAACTATCTGATGGGAAATCTACCTTACATCCCACCCTCATAGTGCAGGAAACAAAGCCTCCCACACAGCCCTGCCACTGCCAGTGAACTTTGAAGCAGGCTGTCCTTCCTCATATGAATTACAATTGCTGAAGGGCCTTGTCAGGAAGGATGAAAATTTCACACTCAGCTACATCAGGCAGTAGTTACCCACTGCTTACGCCACAGTTAATATGCAATAAAGAAGAAATCTCTGTCCCAGGACGTGACATTAGAGCTGATCAGTGCCAAAGCTACAGACCATAAGGACAGCTTCACACTTGCCTCAGCTAGTTCATGAATAAACATTCAGTTCATTCAAATGAGTTCTATATTAACTAATTTAAATAATTTTCATTTTGCTTTGAATGGTAAACAGATCTATTCTGCCAGGATAGTTGAGTTTGCAATTCAAATTACACACCGATTTGTAATGAGAAAAATATAATTAATGGCAAAGCTTGAAGTAACTACAATTTTACTCCTTTGATTTCCTGTGAAGGAGGGGGCTGGAGCACGAAGCTCACAGGCACACGTGCACTCACATCATCCTGTCATAAACCAAGACATTTTATTGCCACCTCAGGTATTCCTGATCTGGTGATTGCACCATCACGTCACAGGAGGACAGAACATGACTTGACATTTTCCTCACAGGCCACAGGCACCATGATGCAACCAACATCACCCCATAAATAACAGTGCAGCAGTCTGTAAATTAATCAACTTCCTTCGATTTGGATCATAAACTACAATTATTTGGCAGCCGCCTCTTAAAAGCTCTGTGTGTGCTGGACTTTAAATCAAGTTCTATTGATCTGCTGAACTGAACCAGCCCATTTTGTTGCATCTCTCTCCCATCTAATGAAATTCTTTGTCCCATCACTCTACCATTCTTGTCTGGCATCACATTTACGAGTTGAGCACCGATCAGTCCAACCTGACACGTAAGCAGAAACAAAGCATTGTCCCAGTGCTGTCATTCTGGCTGTTAAACAAGTCCATTTTGGCAACTCTGCTTTTTAACCAAAGCTTTCAGCTCCTGATTAAAATCACAGCCTAATGACAGACAACCAGCCCCAGCCACGCTGTTTGCACGGTCCAGCCAACAGATGCACTCACTGTGATCAAGATGTGCAGAACTGATGCCTTCAGAACTGGGTCCATGCTATTTAAAGCTGGGTTTTGTCTCTCCCAAAGGTTTGACAACAAAATAAAAATGCAATTCTAGAAAGGTTTGAAAAAATCTCCACAGAGTTCATAGAGAATATCAGTTTTTCTTTTCCTAATGCGTAGGTCCCATGATTCTGTAAGTCTTGAAGGCTCAGATCCTCTTGGGCATTTTAGATGCCTCATTTCAAAATATGAGCCAAGCTCTTATATCCTTAAATCTCTTTTGAAATAACAAACCATGCATTTAATTTATTCTTTTTGAAAATTATACAGTGACATACAACAAAGTTTATTCACTGAAAATGGGAGGGGGAAGGGGAAAATAAACAAACAAAAAACCCCAAACTAACAGGGCAATTGCCCACCTTCAGCACCTTGGTGTACAGTTACATCACCCACCAGAGAAGGGATGTAGGACACACTGCACACCTGCAGTCACTCAAGCAAGGCAATTTCCACAGAGTGGCCACGACACAAAGGGCAAATTCCAACAGATCCATGAAAAGCAGTTGCCTCAGGTTGTAAGGGAATTGTTATTTCCTATTATGACATTCAGTAAGTTCTCTTACCCCCCTGACCCTCACATTTGAGATTTAGTCTGTAGCACTGTACACCTTTCTGGTAACACTGATTGTAATCCACATAATAAAATGTCGTTTAAGAGGCCAATAAAATAAAATACCTCACCCCTCACACATCAGCTTGATTTACTGGTGCTAAGCCAAGAGATTTCTCAGCCGTATTTCTCTTCAAGACTGTTTTTTTTTTTCAAGCAAACAATCTTGTGTTTATTCAAAACACACAGACCAGAACAAAAAGATAAGTTTAGCTCACAGTTGGGCATATGCAAGGCAGGAATGTCAGCTTTGATTCAAAGACTCGATCTACAGCTCACTTCAGGGGGAAGTCAGGGAACACTTACTCCAGGAGAATTCCCACGTGGCACACAACTGGCACAGGCACTGTTTTCAACAGCCACACACAGCAGAAAGGGAAAGAGTAACTTCAGCAGCAGAACCCTTAAATCAGACCTTCCTTAAATGTATGCACAAGCTGGAGGCTGAATACTCATCTCTTCTTCCCTTGATCCAGAATAAATGGGATATATGGCAGGAATACTTAGGAGCAACACTGACAATATGCCTCTGCTTGGAGCAATGTAGCAGCAAGGATACACCACAGCTGCTCTGTTGATGCACATAGCCTACATATATATATATTTATATTCTTATACACTGGTGATCAAACTGTATTATTAAAAAACTGCTCCACATGAGCCACTCAGGAACCTACAACACTTCCACTCAGCTGTTGTGCACCTAAGAGCTGCCAATCAGGACATGCCCTAACCACAAATGACCAAATTCTGCTATCTTTAATCATGCAGATCTACCATTGGAATTAAAAGCTGCCAGAGTCTGGCAGTGGAAGGTCTTAAACTTTCAGGGCAAACCACTTTTGAGTGCAAAGTCAGCTTCTGATTTTGATTACACCCAAACTGATCTTGCTTATTTAGTTTGCTCTTCTACAAGAACAGAACAGCTTTCTCCCCAAAGTGAAAATCACAGCATTGCAGTTCAGCAGTAAGAAGACATCTCCCTATGGAAGTGCCTTCTGTTGTTACCAACTAGGGCAAAAACACCTTTGCTGGAGGCTGATTGGCAAATGGAATCCTGTGGGGACCCGACCCTGCCCACATCACCCAACACCAGCTGAGGACCTGGAGTATCCATCCCAGACCAGCCAGAAATCTGGAGATGAACCCACAAGCCCAATACCAGAGCACAACCCTAACAAACCAGGCAGAACTCACCATCTGGAGGCATCAGGACCTTGTTGTTCTGCGTGCACCAGCCCACGGGGTGCAGGTCTGCTGTCATCACATCACACCAGAAGTCTGCCCTGCGGTCGTCCCCGTAGCCGCAGTAACGGAGCAGCAGGAGCTGCCCACAGGTGGTGATGATTGTAGCCACCCAATATGTGTCTGGGTTGCTCTTGTTGGCCACTTCTAATTTCATCCCTGGCTGGAAACTGCTTTGAAGGCTGATTTCAACCTTGCAAAATGAGAAAGGCATGATGTTACTTTTGCTGCTTGGCAGGGAGACCCACTTCCCTCCCCTGGAAATGCTGCCCTTAAAGAGCAGCCCTGAGATAGGACAGGATCTGATTGTGCTTTTAATCCAACCATCTCCCTGTCCATCTATATGAGCAGTTCCATTCCTACTTCACTGGCTCATATCCCATCATGCGAGTCCCACAGGTTCCCAAGTGCAGGAGTGGTACCTTCAGGTGTACTACATCCAAGGGAGGACCGGCACTCATCTTCAATCCCTAAATGCCACTAATGCCTCCAATACCGTCAGCATAATTCAAATGAGGTTTTCCACTGCACAGCTCCACCAGGCAAATCACAGGACACAGCAAGGCACAAAGGTATGAAGCACCTCTAGGACTTAAGCCCAACTACAATAATTAGTCACATAACACTAAAGCACCTCTAGAGACCTGACAAGCATCAAGGGCTGAATGCTGTACCAGGGAGACCAAGGAGAGAATTTCCACTGCACCCATCCTCAGCAGCTCAAGCCTCAACCAATTCCCCCTCCCAGCACCCTGGAAAACAAGGTGTGACCAGTCACTGAAATAAGTAAATTGTCTGGGTCACTGTTCTGCCATCTGATGGAGACATCACTTCCATTTATCTCAGCAGTGATAGGTCACCTGTAACTTGCCTTAGGACACTGGAGATGCTAGTACATCTCTTTTGGGACACTGCTGATGAACACCAGGGCCTGTTGTAGCACTACCTGAGTTCCAAGGACCAGTGGGATGCCTCTAGCTGTTGCTGATGAAGAGGTGGATGCCAGTGCACTGGTCAGGTGCGAGCCTTGTCTTCACAAAACCATCCAAAATGTAACCTGTCACTCCTTAGGAGATGTTTAGGGTCAGGTTGTTACAGGTTTCTTGGAACCTTATCAGCTATTGAATCTAGAGGGATTATAAATCTAGGTAAGCCTGTCTCTGATTGACTTCCAATTGAAATGGCAGTTTAAAAAAAACTCTTTTACTTACAAAGATAAATACAACATGGTCTACTTGGTCAACCGAGGATTTCACAGACATTTCACATGCCAGTCTGCTGAGAAAACACTCCTCTGGCCCATCAGTAATCCCTCACTCATCCAACTCCAGCTTCTGCCCCCAGGGATGCCCACCCAAACCCATTTCTCATTTGAACTCTATGTGCCTTTCCTTGTGTGGGCACCTCCAGCAGAATCAATGCCCAGAGTCACAGAACAATTGAGAGGGGCCTTTGGAGATGGCCTAACACTGAAGGTGGTCTGTGACACTGCTTTACTCAGCACTAAGACAGGATCGCAGCAATGCTTAGAGTCCTCATAAAGAACCCAGAGTACAGGCTGGCCCATGTCCCAGTATAAACTGGATCTCCTGGCCTCCTCCCAGTACAGACTGGCAGCTGCAGCTCAAAGCACCTGAGCCTGATGCCTGCAGAGAGTGATCAATTTCTCAGTTTCCTCCCTGTGCTCACCATAGCACCAAGGCACTCCAGAAGCCAAAAGACTTGTGACTGGAAATCACATCGAGAGTAGAATCAGATAATACAGTCTTCTCTGACAGCTTGTGGGTTTTTGGCCAGATTTTGAGGATCAAGTTTCAGATTGTGAAGCAGTCACCAAGGACTGTTCCCAGCACCAATCTGTCCCGCACTGAAACTCCCAGGATTAAGGTGCTGTGAGACACTGCAGTCAACAGAATCAGCAGGATGAGCTAGGCATCTCCACACAACTGAAGACATCCTTAAGGGCTTCATGAAGCATAAAACTTTCTACTTTGAGCCTGGAGAAGAAATCTGGGACAAGATGCTCTCTCCAAACAGCTGCTGGATCAAGAATAAACTCCACAATAAGCATTCCCCTGCTCATCTCCAGTGTAGAGAATTATGGTCCTTCACCCTGCAATACTCTGGGTTAACTGTTGTTAAAATGAAAGCAAAACAGGGAATGGAGGACTGTACTGGCTTTTCAGATCTAGGTAAAAGAGAGGTTTTTCATCCTTTAGCCCTACAAAACAAGCCACAAAATTACCTGGAGACAAAGGTGGTTTAACCAGGTGATCTCCAGAGGTGCCTTCAGATGCTGCTTGTGCTAACACAGAGCAGAGCACAGACTTGTCACTGCCACAGCAGTCTGCATGCTCCATGTTCACCCAGGAAAAGCACAGAGTCCCTGCTTCCCACACTTCTGAGACAGCATCTCCAGGCAGGAGGCTGAGAGGTGGTCTCCTATGAGCCACACTGAACTCTAGGGCTGAGTGACTCTGCCAGTCAGTTAATCAGGCATTAAAAGGAGCTTTTGGGGAAATAAGACACTTGTGAGATTTATCTCTACAGGTTGGCATGGACAACAATGGATGTAGAGAGGAAAATAGGTGAAGAGAAATAAAATGAGTGCATTATAAGCAAAAGGAAAGACCAACACAAGCCCTCAAAAATGGAAAATTTGACGCAAAGGCAGAGGATAAGGGACTGGCACAGACACAGAACTCCAATCTGTGACTGCAAACACACCAATGACACCTAACACCGGCTGGGGGGCTATTCCCACTCAGGGTTTTGCACGTGTGGAGGGACAATTTCTCCCAAAAATGGTAAACCTCCACTATAGTTCTGCAGGGAGCCCCTGAAAACCAGAAGAGGGAACATGTACAACACCCACAAGGCCCAGAGGAAGCACGTACGTGTTTGAAGGAGGTGTGGGGAGCAGCACTGGCTCCTGTTTCCTCCAGGAACTCATCCCAGTTGAAGTCTGTGTCCTCAATGCTGGAGCCCTCATCTGTTCAAAAGAAAAAAAAAAAAAAAGAAAAAAAATTAAAAAAAAAAGGAAAAAAGAGAGAGAAAAAGAAAAGCAGCCTAAAACACAGCCAAAGAAGGCAAAAGTTGTGTCAAAGAGTTCAGGGTGAGAATAGCAACCAGTATAAACATCAACAGAAGGGAAAACAGAAAACTTGCTCAAAGGATCTGTGTTTTGACCAGCTCTTACTACGCTTTCAGCAGACTCTGGGGCTTTAGCAGCCAACACTGAGACCAGAAATGATTCTGCTTCCATGGCAGTGGGGGCACAAAACTGTCATACACTGCAACAGGCACTTGCGCTCTTTTCTTTTGCATTTGATGACTCCCTGGCTGCGAGGGAGGTGGCTGCCTGCCCACTATCAAGGAGGTGCAATGTCCTTGTGCCCTCAATTAACAGCACTGTTAATTACAGCAGTGCCCCCATGATAAATTAGAAGATGCTTCTGTTGGCTGAGCCATGTGCAGACCGAACACCCCAACCCTTGGGGTGGGTGAGACCCATTTTCACTCCTGCTACCTTTCCTCTCCTTCCTCAGCATCACTGCACCCATAAGCGTAAGATAAAGCCCCCACGCCTCCCTCTTCCCCCAAGGCTACAGCTGCTTTCCCCAAACCCCTGAGCACACCTCTCTAGACCCCTACTGCATTCTTTCTCCCTGCTCCCCTTCAGATCTGGGGCTCTGTATCCTCTCTCCCCCTTGCACACACTGCCCCACACAATCCCTCCCCACAGGGAAGGACTGGACACGACCACTCTTTCTTTTCTTCCTTTAAAACCTCACTGTGGCAGAGCCAAGGCCCCAAACCATCTCTGAAATGCACACAGCAATAATTAAAAATAAATCTTCTTTCAGTTACAGAAAATCAGCCAAATCTGATTGTTTTCATTTTGTTCCCAAGCAATTTCACAAGCCCAGTTTCATCCCCAGAGCAAAAATATTTACAGTCTAGCAATGAGATCTTTGCAATAAGCATTTATCAGGCAAACTCTGTGAGACCCTTTACCTGCCCAAACATTCATCAGTGTGGTCATGATGTAATTAAAGTGACTCATGACAAACTGAATTAAGAACCCTCCCCAGACAGTTTTATGAAGAAAAAGGCAGGGTTAATTTATTGCAATTATTGCTACAGGTCTCCAGTTTCCAGGACCAGAGAAAATTATGTTGTGCAAGGGGAATCTCTCATTATTAAAAGGGGAAGACACAAGTTTTATTTGCTGCCTGTGGCACCAGATCCACATAGGTGAGGGGGAAAAAAGGGGATCAGAAGAGGGGTTTTGAGACAGAGCTGGTGGAGGGTAAAGATCTGTCTGGGAGACAAAGCTCAAAGCTGAGCTGTCAACACTGTTAAACACTTGCAGGTTCCTGCATCAAGTCTGACTCCTTGCCCTAAACTCAAATATCTTCTTAAATATGGAGATGCAAATCAACATTTATTCCAGTGATAGAGTCTACCAGATGACTCTTCAACTCAGCAAGAAATAACCCAATTCCATTATTACAATCCAAAAATAGACAAATTCATCACAGAATGAAGAATGGCCTTTGTTTTGACTTTTGCAATCACTGCAAAAACCTTCAGGCACAGAAGCTGGCTCTAGTTGAGATATCTGACCCAGAATGAGGGGTTTGTTCAACCTTGACTGAATGATAAGCCACAACATAACCACAAGGTAGGAACTTGGTGGAAAAATTCTGTATCATGCAGGCAGGCAATTTAGATGAACAGGGATATTTTTCAGCCTTCATGCCTGCAACCCTGGAGAGTTAATGTTATAGAGAAGAGCAGTGTGCAGAGATTTCTGAAACCAAGGATGTTAGTCCATCAGTAGATGGGCAGAGATGATTATCCACTCCAGGCTTAAAACTGCTTAAGCAACTTTTTACCCTGAACAGAACCAAGCCCCATCCAACCAAAAGTCAGAAACACCTGACATGAAAAGCTTTAAGTGCATAATCCCTTCTGCCTCATTGCTCTCTGCTCCTGCATCCACCTGTGTCTGTGGGGTTGGGATGGGCTGCTCCAACAATCCCAAGGGCATTTCCACCCCAGGACATGGACAGAACTTTTGGAACAGGCTGCCCAGGGCAGCAGTGGAGTCACCATCCCTGGGGGGACTTAAAAGTCACACAGATGTGACACATGGGGACATGGTTTAGTGTGTGGCCTTGTCAGTGCTGGGGGAATGGTTGGACTCAAAGCTCTTAGAGGTCTTCTCCAGCCTAAATAATTCTGTGGTTCTGTGACTTCCAGGTCAGCCCTGGGCTCTCTTCTCTCCTGGTCAGGTACTTCCATTTCAGAGCATGAGCCCTTTCCTTCAGCCCAGGATGCTCTCCGTGTACTCTCAGTTTTTATCCCTGTTTTTGCTCTAATTGCCTGTGTTAGTCAAGGCAAGATCTCCTTCAGCACCTGTCTCCTTTTCTCCAGCCCTCCTCGGCAGTCTTAAGGGAAAGATTAATACCACAGAGGGTAGGAACTGAGTTTTTCCATCAGTTCAGTGCATAATCTCCAGCCCTTGCAAGGAGCAGTGTCTCCAAGGGGGTCAGAGTTTTCCCCAGAATCTGGAAAAAGCTTTTTAATAAATATAAATAGATGTTACTTATGGATGCATCAAGTCCTTCGCAACCTTATTAACCCTGACCTACTCTACCACGGGCCAGCACAGAGACTCTCACTGGCAGGTTCTTTAACATGCTGCCCAGCAAAATTAAAAACAGCACCTGTTTAACAAAATACCACCCAGATCTCTCCTTTCTAAACCCAAATTAGGAGGCTTCAAGGCCCGGAGGTGAGGCAGAGTGAGAGCTGCAGCCTTCCCTCCCTGTCAGCTCATTCCTCTCTGACACATCACCAGCCTGGCTCCTCTACCATGTTTTATCTGCAGACTTTATCAGGAAATTACTTTTACAAGGTCTGTAAAAATAATGCCAGAGTACACATTTATCACAGCATCAGTGGTTTATTTTGCTTCATTTCACCACAATGAATTCTGAAGGGACTGTATGTTTTCAAAATGTTTTTTTAATGGACTTTGTTCCCTGCTGGAATTCTGGCAGGGGGGGCATTCAGAAGAGACAGAGGGATGAGACCAGCCCAAAGGTCCCAACACCACCTACACATTCAACAGGGCTGCACAGAAATCTCCTCATCCATCACAAAAACCCAACTGCTAAGGAGCACAGGACACCCTGAAAGGTGATAAATCTGGCATTAACCCTCTTTTACATACCAGCTCTCTTTCCAATTATTGGTACTTAGGTCCAGAGCTTTTCCTTAATGAAAGAGTCAAGGCTGGCTGGTTTACAATACGGTGATGTATAAACAAGCCCAGGATGGCAAATAAAATCAACAAGTCATTATCTGCGAGCCTCTCAATGGCTTTAAAGTGCTCATGCATTGACACTATAAAAATGCAACTGTTCCAGCTGTTAACAGCCCCCTGGGATGTTCAGCTATGAAAATGAAAAGGGATAAAAGACCCAAACCCTGTGGCTCCAGAAAGACAGATTTTTTTTTTCCAGGATTCACTGTAGGAGAAAGTGTTTAAGGCAAATTGTTTAGACATCTTATTTATAGCACCTAGATACACATACATGACTTTTTGAATTAATAGAGCACTGAAATGCTCCTACAACAGGAGTGGGGAAAGGGAGACACACAGATACCTTATCAACCACAAACCTCTGACAGCCTTGGGAGAGCCATCAAAATCCTTATCCCCACTGAAATTTAGGCATTGCAGACCAGTTCTTCTTACTCCCCAAAAAATGTCTATGGTTGGCCAACTGAATCTCATCTTAGAGGCTCCTATCTCTCTCCCACATATAAAAATAGATCCAGTGGTGACCAGATCAGCCCAGACATGTCCACTCTGGAAAGGAAAGGATCTGGTGTCCAAGGTAACAGGAAAGTTACTGAGCTGCTACAAGAAGTGAGGAAACTGAAGGCTGAGTGGCCAAATTTCTGACATGCTGAGGGAGAAGCAGGGAAAAACTTAGCTTCAGAAAGAAAGTAGGTTAGGTCTAGCCATAATGTACTTTTTCATCATATGACACAGACTCCTCCTGCTAAGGCTAGATAAGGGAAGTTAAAGCACCTGATTCCATCAAAAATCACCAGACAGTAGCATCTACTTTTCTGCATCTACCATAGAACACCCAAATTTAGCACAGCAAATGCTCACAACTTCAGGAGCCCATCCCAGAGCACTGCAAATCACCAAGTCGAGAGCACAAGGACAACATGTGACCAACTCTCATCTCCTCAGTGTTTGTGAAGCCCCCTCACCTGAAGCACTCCAAAAACACAGTGAAGGAAATGAGGGGGAAGGTCAAAACAAAGGAGGAATGCTGTAAATTGCTGCATGTTTGCTTTATCTCTCTTAACCATGAAACTTCAACAGAATAAAAAATGGTGGGGAAGCTGGGAGAACACATTATGATGCCTTGGGAAAGGTTTTCTGTGGCTTTTTGTTTAAATTTTGAATAGCTGATACATACTGCAGATGAGGTCCAGAAGAAGAAAAGCTCCTATTCCCCATCAACCAGAGGACACAGCCCGATCCCTAAGACCCAAAAAAGGGCTTGGAGCTGTACAACCATCCCCAACGCCTCCCTGGCTCCCAGCTCTACCTGCAAGGAGCTGCAGCAGTGACAAGGACTCGTGGGGGTGAAGGGGAGCTCACCTGAATCAAACTGCTCCCCGTCGCCGTTGGCTGGGCTGGGATCCTTCTCTGGGGAGAGGTGCTGGGTCTCTCTCATGCTGGCAATGAAGGATGCCCTCGTCTCCATGGCTCAAGGAACAGGCTTTGCCTTCCTAATTCATCCTGCAGCAACGAGGACAAGCTAAAAGGAGAATAAAAAAAAACAGTGAGTGATTTGTTCTACCTGCACCAACCCATTCTCTTTCCTGATGGTTTTCATGTCACCCTATATTGGTACAGTTGGGGTGAAAGATCTCAGACATCTTTTCCAGCCTAAACATTCCTGATGGTGACCCTTCCATCCTGCTCTTGTCTCCAACCTCAAGCTGGGGTTGGATGAAAATCACAACAAAGGACCTTAGTGGCAATAACATCCTAAGAGCAACAGCAAAAATAATAACAGAGCAGATAATAAGGTAATAAACAGCATACAGAGGCTTCACATCTCAAAGTTCTCTCCAGCTCCCAATGCCACCAACAAAGAGAGAAGGCTCAGCCCACAAGGCAGCACAACCCATGCTAGAAAACCATCTCTACCATCTCCCAGCCATTTCAGGCCTTGATTTCCAGCTTTTTGATGGCTAACACAGTGTGAGATGTATCTCACTCCATAAAGATTCAAACTTCCAAAGTGGGAGATCTGTGGTAATGAAACAGAGGAAACACTGAAGCAAACAGTCATGAGATACTGGAGTAGTTCTAGAAAATAAAACTGAACATGCAAAATGCAGATATCTTCATGAAATAGTGCTGGCTGCAACTGTTTATTGAATGAGGACTGACCTAAAGTAACTATACTGGTTTTAACATTTAACAGGGCAGCAAATACTAACTGATTTTAAATTGAGTTGCGTTAGCAGAGGAGTTTCTTCTAGAAGGAGTGACCATAGTAAATTCAAAGTGGAATAAAAAGACACAGAGATGAAAAACAATATGAGGAAGGGCATCCAGGCTGACCAGATTTTACATCAGACACCAGACTAAATGAGAACTGTATTTCCAGCCACACCAAGCCACCAGACAAGCAATACCCCAAGGTACACCTTTAGGAGTAGATTAAAAAGAACCCCACAGTGAGATTTTCAGTAAGACTCCGAGATGCCGAGGAATTACAATGTGTGAAAGGACGACTGAAAAAGAGAAACCAAGAGCTGGGGTTGTGGGCACAGAGGGAACCAGCTATTCAAAAAAGATATGCTAAAGCAAAGACAGGCAGCAGGGAAGGTGTGTGTCCAGAATATCTGATGGAGAGGACTGGTCCTGCTTATTAGAGGAGCCTCCAAATCCTGCATGACAGACAGGACTGTGCTGGCAGCACCACTGCCAAATGCTCTGCAAAATGTGTGACTAAAAGTAGGAAAGAAGTTTACTGCCAGAGGCCAGGCAAAGCAGGATGTAATAAGATTGTAAAAATATATGGGATTTTTTCAACTTTTACTACTCTGGAGGCATATTCTAGAAGACTAGATATGATGGTTATAAAACAGAAAGGAGGAGAGTGTTCTGCCATGGATTTCTCACTCCCAGTTTTTAAGGCTGCTCCCATGGCAATTTAAAAGAAGAAATGGACGTGTGTGAGCAGCTATATTAGAACTGAAAAAGATGAGGAGCATGTCAAGTGTCTGATATCCATTAGCTAGACCATGGTAGGACTGTCTGCCGGAGCAATCACAATTGCAAACCTGCAAAAAGCCACAGGTGTTTCACAAAAAAAAATCACCAGTGGAAGCAAATTACAAATGCAGGTCATTCAACCCTCACTGAAAGCTGTTCAGGCAAAGTTAGAAATTTTAGCTCCCCACCCCAAAGGAATCTGCTAATGAAAGAAAACAAAAAAATACTTTTTAAAAATGAAAATCATAAGCCAACTCAGAGCAATATGGTCACTGGTCTCTTCATAAAGTGCTCAGTAGAATTTAAGTACTCCACAGATATGACCCTTCTCCCACTGCCACTACAGCACTTCATCTTTATTCTTTGTTGACATGGAACTCGCTAATGAATTAAGTGTATTATAGACTCCGAGTATTCTGAGTGCAGCTAACCTCAGAACATACGCATCACTCATCCCCAGTGTATATTAAGTTTCAATTAACCATGAAACTAGAAGCAATCAGTTTACTGAAAGTCAAAAAAACCCTCTTCTCCTTTGGTAGAGAACACTTCCATAAATATCATTAATAATAAATTAGCTAAGTATCAGGAGTTTACATCAGGCTTGTTAAATGTGAGACAAGGGGAGATGCCAGCTGAAGCTAAACATTGGGTGGATGTGGTTGTTTTAATTTTTGCCAGGGACCAGACAAGGATGGAAGATAACCTGGGTCTACCAAAAAAAATTCAAAGAATAGAGAGAAACAGATCAATTTAAACACAACAAATCCATCATCTTAAAGAGAGCTCAGGGGTAACAATATAGATACTAAGGAGAAACATAATCTGCTTGGTATTGTAGTTAAATCTTGTGATGCCTCTATGATGCTGATAAAATAAAGTTATGAGCTGATAAAAAGCTGAAGGTGCCCAGAAAACAAGAGTATTTGGGTTTTTTTGTTTTTTTTTTTTTTTTACACAGCCAAGCCTCAAATCTGCCACCAGACCCACGAGTGGGACTCAAACCTCGGATCATGGAATTTCCTATCAGAAACGGAAAATGGATGGACAAAATCAGCAGGAACCTGCCCAAGGTGTCTGCAACACAGCTGGGACCTATCTGGGACTGGGTGTGAGCTCACTTCAATTAAAAGGGGGAAATGCAGAATCTCTGAGGCACATTCAGCAACACCAACAGTTTTGGGTTTTTAAACTCTATTTTAATGTGGTTTTTGCTTAAGCTATGGACAACTTGCTGGTTTTGAAATATCATGTTGAGAGCATCCACATCCCAAGGAAACTTGATCTATTAGAAGCCATTACCTGGCTTATTTTGGGAATTACAAGTTTACCAGTTATGGTAGGAGAGTACTTCAGTATTTTCCCAACACCATGTGACAAGAAGACCAAAGTCTTATGCAAACACCAGCTTCAAAATAGCTCTGAGCTTTAGTGTTGATATAACTAACTAGCAAAGAAAGCTGACACAGGGTATTAATTTTTCGCTTCTTATTAATTGCTGCTAATTAACACTTCAAACAGAGTCCCCAGTCATACTGTTAACAGTAGCACACTGGCTGGCCTGGAATCATCAGCATTACACAAGCAGCACACACCACTGTACTCCAATTCCTCTGCCAGTGTGAAATCCACTGGAAACCAAATCGAGGACCACAAGCCACACTGCCAGCCTGGGAACAAGTTGATGGGAAACAGCACCAAAAGAGGCTCAAGGTGACATTACACCAGGCAGGAGCACAAAGGAAAATTCTATGAAATGCATCTGAAAGAGCAGGGAGGGGGGAAATTCCCTGGTTTCAGATCCCTTGCTCATTGTTTCTGCACAGTGGTGGCTCAGACTGATCCGATTCTTCCCCCCACGCAGCTTCCATTCCCTTGGTATTTAATTCAGATCCAGGCTCTTAACTCACAGGCAGGAAAAGCCAGGCAATATAATAAAGAATCTCTTTTATTTCCTTCTTCCCACGGCTGTCAGTCTCAGCCCTGCCTTTATCTCCACCATGCTGCCTTGTCATCTGTATCAATATTGGCTCTTTGTACAAGCACAGCACTGGCTTCCTCACACCATTTTACATTTCTCATCTCCCATCAGCTCCATCCTGGTTTTTCTTCCTTTGGAGTAATTCTCTGTAGGGAGAGGTGCCTTACCCACACACAAATCCAGCACCCCTAGGACTCTTCCTAAAAGCTACTCCTGAAAAACTTACTTTCTCCCTGCAACGCATGCTTGGTTAACCGGGATTGACACAAGGAAGACAAAAAAGATCCTGCATCCTGGGAACCTCTTGCCTGAATAGTGAACCAGGTGTGCTGATGTCATGCTGAGTCCTGAATGGTGAGGAAATAAATTCCACTGTTTTCCCAGTGATCCAGGATTGACTTTGGCCCCTCCAAAATGCAGCACCAGACATTGACTGGAAATGGTCCCACCTCTCACCACGGTGACACTTGAGAGAAGCAGCAGGGCTGCAGGGTCAGAGAATCACAGAATGTCCCGAGTTGGAAAGGACCCACCAGAATCATCAAAGTCCAGCTCCTGGCCCTACACAACATAACCCAAATAATCCCACCACGTGCCTGAGAGTGCTATCCAAACACTTCATGGTCTCTGTCAGGCTTGGTGCTGTGACCAATTCCCTGGGGAGTCTGCTCCAGTGCACAGCCACCCTCTGGGGGAAGAACCTTTTCCAAATATCCAGCCTAAACCAAGGCAAGGAAAATCACATCCAAAAGATGACTGACTTAAGTGGTCCAAATCAGACACCAGAAATCCGTATGAGATGAACAACCTTCAGGGGGTTCCTGCTCTTGTACAGCACCTGCAAATGTTTTAAACATCCAAATTTCCCAGCAGACAAGCTGAATCAGTCACAGAATGGCTTGGATTGGAAGAGGCCATAAAGATCACCTGGTTCCAACCCTGCTGCCATGGGCAGGGACAACTTCCACTGGACCAGGTGAAGGGAGATGCTCAGATGGCCATGTGGTACTGGTCCTGTTGTGGAGCAGGAAGAAGGGGATCTCGTCCCTGTGGGACATGATCCAGGATGCACTGCTAGTGGCAGCCTGCCACAATATTTACATCCCTGAACATCTGCACAATGCAGTGGAAGCTCATTCAAAAGGGCTATTGAACACATCAAGTAACAGTTTCACCTCCTAGAAAAAGGGCCTGTCTCTCCTCTCAGACAAAGCACCAGTTGGAAACCTTTTAAGGACATTTTCTTCCAAATTCCTGTGAGAGTTTTTTTTATTATTTATTTGAGAGCTTCACTCGCCAAATGTTTTCACTTATATCAACTGACAATTTCCCTTTCATACTGAAGACCCCACAGGATTTTAATAAGGGAAATTTACTGCTTTGAACAGCTCTGTGTTGTACTCTGGGGTGGAAGAGACAAATCCCATGTACTCTGGAGAACCAGGAATGTTCACAATATTCAAATACATAAAGAACAGCTGAATGGGGAAAGAATATAATCTGTTTTCCATGTTCATGGTGGATTGAAGAAGGCAGCTTGGTTTAAA